ATTCTTAATTTGATATCCAAAATTCTCACAGCCATTCCAGTGACCCCAAAGCAAGGAAAGTAGGATGGAAGGTCAATTGGAGGAGAAAAAGACATTACTCTGATCTGACTGTAGGCAAGACAGAGCCTACTTTTGCAAATTTACAAAATCATGACTTTTCCAGGTCCTGTGTAGCCTCTTAGAATAGTTTAGATGTGTGTGGCATGAAACTTGAGCCCCATTAGCTTTACATTAACCCCTTTTACTGGTACCCAATCTAACTACATCAAAGATCCTTTTTGTTCTTCACTATTTTTTAATTCATTTTTATTCATGTTGCGACTTTTCATCAGTGTTTGGTGATTCGTGGTTTTCTGCCTATTTCCTTGCTTCTTTATACCAATTTTCTTTACTTTTATGCCTTGACTTTCCGCCTTGCTTTCTAAAGTGCTCTGACCAAATTCCTTGCTGGCCTTGTATATGGGATCCTAACATTAATTTGAAGAAAGTCTCACATTCAAATAAAAATGAGGTAAACTTCTTTCACTGATTGTACTTGGTAATCTTCAAGGTGAAATATGCGTTTTCCCAAAACTAAACATCCCTAATCTTATTTTTTTAGCTTCTTAATAATATTCCTACTCTTGTATCTTTGCTCAGAAAACTCCCTGCCCTCAGGTCCGAGTTCATGCTATAGGATACATGGTTTTGTTTATCCTCCTTGTTTGTTCTTTTTTTCTTTCAAGTTCTACCTTGCTCCTTGGCAAGTGTCTCTTACATAGTACATATGGTCATTTGTATTTGAGATCACTGGTGTATGATGTTGATCTCTGAGACTTAAATGCAAATACTGGGTTGATGACTTTCTGTAACCTGGTAGGACTCTTTGGAACCTGGATGCAATACTGTGCTCCATGAGAGGTCAAGAATCCTTTAGGGTAAGACAAACATTTGAATGCTAGTCTCAGAAAAAGTCTAGAGAATCCTCAGGCAAGCAGACCATTTTGAGAGGTTGGAAACCAGGGATGTCTTACAACCTCCAAATTGGTCTCAGGGGTCTGTATCATTTCCCTCAGAATCTTTCCACTGTAAGACCACAGTTTGTGTTTGCCAAGGAAACAATATGTCCATATGTGTGATCTGTGAAGCTGAATTACCAAATCCCAGAGAATGAGGTGAGTGGGCAAGAAAGTCTCCTGGGGCAGACGCCATATAGAATCTCTGTCAGAGCAGTTGCTTTTGGCCTTCTGAATACTCTCTAATTTTGACAAAAGGACAAAGATTTTCTCAAACCTAAGATCCTGCTCTCTGAGCCACGTACCTGTGAACTTCATTGCATTTCATGGAAAACCCCGATTTTCTGTTGATGAAGATGGACGTGTTGGTTGGCTGGGTTTGTTCTGTTCTGGCCACAGAGAGCTGATAGTAATGGAAATGCCTTTCATTCTCTCCAGATAATGAATAATAAACAGACAAAATTTAAATGAGTGTCTAACTTGCATTTTAAAAAAAATTTTAAAATTCTCATATCATATTTGTTTTATGTAAATAGAGAGAGAAGTAGAAGTTATAACTTCAAAGGAATATATAAATCAACCAGAGATTAAATTTTAAAATTTTACCTTTTTTGAATTTCCATACAACAGATAACTACTATAATATATGTTTGTGTTTTCTAAATTTTAGCTTCTTTATTCAGAAAATGAATGTAATTCTAGAGTTAAGAACTAAAAAACATAAATTTTAAGAACATAGTTCAGTGTCTTGAACACACTAAACCATAAATTGCAGTAGGTGTTATCATTATTATTATTGATATTTTATTGTGATAGATGACACTCATAATTATTAATTATTTCAGTTATTATCATATGCATTTTGTGAACAAAAATCACTCCTGGTTGGTTTTATCTCATGCTCTAATTTTCTTTTTCATTATTGATAAAGCTTTCACACATTTCTAATATATTTATGCATATGCTATATTTTATGCAATAATATAAAGTGCCTTAATTTCTTTTGATAATAAAGTGAAGTTTAGATAAAACGGACAGATCAATCTGCCTAAATACTTACACATATATATAGCAATTTGAGATATAAAATACAAAGTATCACTCTCATATCATATTTGTTTTATGTAAATAAAGAGAGAAGTAGAAGTTATAACTTCAAAGGAATATATAAATCAACAAGAGATTGAATTTTACAAGTACTGTGGCTTTGTGCTGTTACTGCCTAGAACCGTATTTGCTATATAGGGGAACCTGAGTGAATATTTGTTGAATAAATACATAAGTTAAGTCAATGAACATTGTTCTAGCACTTTTATGTACAGAGCAAATGGCCAGGTACTTTAGGGAATACAAGGTTTACAAAAGAACAAATCTAAGCTCCCCTTTCTGGAACTTATAATGTATTAGAGAAGACAAATCCCCAAAGAGATAGCTATTATAAGACAGATGGCATTGTAATGGAAACTCAAACACAATACCTAAGGATTGGAGGGTGGAAAGGGCTGTTTGAAAATTATGCATCAATACCAACTGGTGGGAAATCTGACAGAATCCTATTAGTGACAGTAAAGAACACTTGATATTAATTTCTTTACAACATTTAGGGATTTTTTTTTAATAGTGAACTTTTTTTCATGAAATATTTTTTCTTCTCAAATGGCAGATGAATGACCAATCACAGGGAACTGATTTAATAAAAAACTGGAAATTTCTTCCTTAATAGTTTTTTTTTTTTTTTGTCTTTGGTAGTGGGGATTGAACTCAGGTGTACTTATCACCAGGCCACATTCATATTCCTTCTCCCTTTTATTTTTTTATTATGAAACAGGTTCTCAGTACATTGGAAGGTCAGTTGGAAGGTAAGTTGCTGAGGCTGGTCTCGAACTTATGATCCTCCTGCCTCAGCTTCCCAAGTCACTGGGATTACAGGTATGCTTAACTGTGCCCAGCTCTATGGCACTCTATGCCATGAGGTATTGTATGTTATTTTGATGAGGAGGAACATGAAAAGATGAATTCTTGGATTTTGCTCTGTGGCTGCAATGTTATTTCTGGGAGAAGTGACAGGATTTCTAATATATGATCAGAATTGATTCTCTCATCAAGCTTTCTCAGCTTCAATTTCCTATTCTAATCCCCTGTTGTTGCTGCTGCTGCTGGTGGTGGTGGCAGGGAGGTTCTAGCAAAGACAAGAGGAGATGAAATGGAAAGAAAAGTTGTTTAGCCCTGACCCGAGGCTGATAAAATCAAAATCTTTGAGTGGGACCCACATCAGTATTAAATAAAAATCTCTCAGGTTATATGTAATATGCTACAATGATGGAAAATTATATTGTTCTAAGGCAATGTTCTCAAATTTTGCTGGTCATTAAGAATTATGTGAATAGAGAATCATCTGGATAGCTTGCTGAAGAAGACTTATGAGTTTCAGGCCCAAAATCCTTCTGGGATAGAGTTTAAGGTTTTGCACTTCTACAAGTCCCAGGAGAATACCATGCTACCCATCAATGGGGCACTTTGAGTAGCAGAACTCTAGAGTGTGCTCCCTAAACAAAGGTGGAAAAGCAATTGCCTAGGGTTCAATGTTCAAAGAGTGTCTGTGGACAGTTGGCATCAACAGACCTTACTGAGACCTTACTACAGATGCCACAACTCAGTCTTCATTAAATCAAAATATGATAAACATGTGTGCTAAACTTTGAGAGGCACTGCTATAGAACTCTCAAATTGGCTGCATATTGGAATTACTTGGGTAATTTTATAATCTATAGATGCCTATGTTTTATACCTCTGGTTGCCTTCTGCAGATTGGATGTCTTTAAGAATTATCCTTGTAGTTTTTCTGAGAAGCAAAGTGTGAGAAGAACTACTCTAGAGGACATAATGTGAGGCAATGTCCTGCAAAGTTGTCTTTAAAATGTTCTTTTACTCTCATGATCTGTAACATTGCCTGACATTTACTCATATGTGTTAGTAAGAATCTTCGCAAACACCAATTGCCATAGGAGGATGGATATTGTTTTATCAGTAACCCATCTTGGTGTTAACCTAATTTAAGTAGTGTCAGAGATCACAAAACTGGGGAAAAAAGAGGTTTAATTGGTATTAGCAAAATGGAAGAGATTAACACTTCAATTTATGGAGGTACTTCCTGTCGTAGGTGAATTGCTTGGAAGCCTAGAGGTGTGGTGGGGTGACAGGTTATTTTTTGTTCAGCCAAGAGGTAGAATGATGCCATGAACATTTACTTGAGTAGCTAGGGGAATGAGACTAAACTATGAAAATGGATGAGACTAAACCATGAAAATAAGTCAGATTCCTTTTTTTTTAAATGAATGTGAAAAATAACTAGTGAGGAATTGTGCAAATATATTAATGACACTAAGTTTGGACATATGGAAGAAGACCTAAACGATTGATAAAACGGCCATTAGAGACCATTTCAGGTTACTACATTCTTACCGATGTACTTTTTTTTTTTTTTTATAAATTCATCAAGTTTCAGAATCTTGTCTCACACTTCAGATCCTCAATAACATTTTATTCATTGATACCCTAGCAAAATTAAGTACTGAAGTCCTCCTTGTTTAACCTGAGTGGATTCTAGATCTATAAATTAATTAATACACAAGTTAAATACCCTTCCAATAAATACTTTGTGGGGCATGCACAGGTCTGGGCTGTGAAGGAATTTTATTCTCTAATTCCTCTCTAATTCCCAGAGCACCCTGAGGTACACTTTGAATCAGTTAGCTGCAATTAGGTGCATGGGAAGAAAAATGTCAAGATTTTCTCTTATTCAGTGGGGCATTTGGAGACAGAAGCCAAGTAAATGGTGATTAAGGACCATCTGAGCTTTAGATCTCATTGCTCATTGGCACAATCTTCCACAATATTTAAAATCTCATAGACAACTGTAGAAGTAGAAATATTAGTGTGTTTCTTTTGAAAGAGTTCATGTTGATCTTTTTTCTTGATGAATAAATACAAGGAATGACAGTTAACTAATTTAAACTATTGCTTTTATTATAATTACACGGGAGCACAAATAAATAAGCACAAAAGTATTGTAAAATATTGTCAATGCACTAAAGAAATCAATTTGTTTTCAAACAACATCTGGTTACTTCAGTAGTATCAAAGTACATTTATAATTACATGTTACCTAAAAAAATCAAGTACAAAAATTAAGAGACATTAAAACATCAGTGTTTATATTATTATGTATATATAAATGGCTAAGTAACACACAAGTAGAGAAATCTTTTATCTAATGCTTATTTGCACATTTTTTCAGGCACATACCTGACATTTCTAATGAGTTATGAAAAATGTGATATGACATTCAGATTCTTAAATATGGTAAACATGTTATATTGAAATGGATGTTAAATGGTTTTCTTTAAAAACCCTGTCTTTAAAAAATGTAGTGCCATTAGCCACTAAAAAGCATATTATTTTATACCATTGTTCATAGTTATTTGTTTCAATTGTTTGAAAAGAGCAATAAAGTAAACATACAATTGCTAAATACGTAAACACGTCTTCAGTGCAAGATAACAAGACCTGTGACTTTACTGTGCTTTTTTTTTTTAAATAATCACAGTGCACTTTACACAAATTGCTACGCTATAAATGTTAAGGAGTTCCAAACAAAAGAAGTGCATTACTAAACATTTCCATATATATTATTTATATACAGTATGTATTCTCTATGGAGGTGTACATGTGTAAATATAGATGCTTTTAGGGTGGGCAAACCCAGTTGTATTTGGGAACAACTAAATCCTTTGAAGGATTTTCACATGTTTGATTGTGATTAATGCAAAGATTCTTTAAAGGTGTTTCCCCTTAAATTTGAAACTTTACAAGATTTAAAGAGAAATATAATCAATCATTTTTTCCAAACTATATATATATATTTTGCTACAGTGAAATTGACCCAAATATCAAAGGGTTTTAAATCATCCTAACCCCAAGCCATAATGTTCACATGGCAAAATGTGTCATCCTTTCATTGATTTACATAGACAGTAGTATATATTGTACGTGTACATACAGAGGCTTACACATAACATGTTTTATACTTAGACATTAAATTTAGTATGTTTTAGTATTTTGACTGTACACTTGAGCTGAAGAAAATGAGAATGCTATATAAACACATAAAAGCTGTTAAACATATGAAATTGTGTATCTTCTAAAAACTGGCTTTATTTTGAAAACATTAGTGATTGCATAATTTACCTCCTTGAAGGCAAGGATCACATCTTTTTCCATGTTTAATTCCAAGTGCTTGAGAAACTTTTTAAAAAATGATTAATAAGTTGCTCAATAATGAACAGCTAAAGAAATAATGGGTTAATAGCAAATTGTCCATATTTTTCAATTAACTCTCTATTCTCCCATAGAAGGAAGATGTAGTGAGATCATGTCAACACTACAGGTACAGTTTTTCTTTTATTTCCACTTATGTTCATGACACAATGCATTGTGATGCTAGTCTACCTGTACTCTACTGCAAGTATGAGTTACCCTTCATCTCAGAATCGCATACTATTTAAATCATTTCTTGATTTCTCATATAAGCATAGTCATTTTACAAATTCTACTGACTTGCTGTACCATGTAGGTGATATGAACTTGTAATTTGTACACACATTGTTCTGGTATCTCAGTTAGAACAAAACCTAGTAAGGTCATTTAGGTTTGATTGATTTGATTACTAAACAACTCAGTCAAAAAAATCAAACCAAATTCTTTATGTCAAGAAGACCCACACCTATGTCAAAATTGAGTAAGAAAAAACAATTTCTGTTTCTAGAAGCAATCAAAAAAATCGTTCACTATTTTGAAACAGAGTCACTATGTTCAAAAGTGAAGTTGTGTCTAACTGTATTCAATCACTGTGCATTTGAAAGCGTGTATATACATATATAACAAAGAGGGATTTTAGTCTCATGGTGTTGTGTTCTACTCTGTCAATTATTTAATATGGGTGAACATGAACCTTTATTAATGCAAGTCCATCACTTTTCACTCCAAATTTGCTTCATTAGCACAACTGAGGGGAAAATGTTGGCAGTGTCTTCGTGAGGGACCACTGTAATACCACAGGTGACTTAGGCTTCTCTGACTGGGAAAAAATGCAGTATTTCATTTTTCCCTTCCATCATTTTTAAAGAAATTTGTTTCTTCTCTGCTAAGAAGTACTTCACAAATAAAAGCATCTTGCTGACAACCAATAAAATTCTATTTCTATAGAATTTGCTGTTAAAAAAGATTGTTTTTTATAGATCTGAGCTCTTTCAACCTGATAACTGTGCCATGATATGATTTGTTCTTTGGCACTGCTGAAAGTATGAGCTTTATCATGGCATAGTGTACTGCCTGCAGGTTATCTTCTGACCAGATTCACACAGGGAGGTGTCCTGATTTAGTACTGCCAGAGAGTCAGCTTACCTTTCTCTCTATGCTAATGGCCCCCATTTCTTCATATAGAGAAATACCATGCACTGAGGAAATTGACTAGAGAATGGCTCTTGCCACCATGGGCAACTCTATATTGTATAGGCACAGAGTGACAGAGGTCACTTTTCCAGATATTTCAGTTACTTCCCATGTAGGGAAACATCTAGAGAAATAAATGGAAGTGTTTCTCTAAGGTCAAACTTTCAAACCTCCTCAGAAAAGAACTTTTGAAAGAGAAGTGCATGAAATCTTGCCATAGCATATGTTGGATGGAACAAATGGGAAGGGCTGAGTTCAACATGAATCAATCTTGACAAGTATATGCTTCTTGTAAAGGGACTGGCATTTAAAAATATTTTCTGCCTAATTCAGAGAGATATGAGCAAGATCAGCATCTGAGAAATACACCTGTATCTCCTAATAGGAAGGTGTTACCTAAATATAAATTTTGAAGGAAGAATAATCTTTAACATACTAAGCCTAAATATATAGATCATAAAGAAACTAAAAATCGATGACTTATATTTGACTGATTGGGTTGTATATGTGTAGTTGTGATCATTTAAGTGAAGATAACATAAACACATTGTATCCAATTATTATTTTATCTTACACATTTTCATTATTCATAAATTTGTGATCCATTGATTATTGGGTTTGAAATACAATCTATAGCTGATGAAACATGGAAGCAGGATTCATTTAAGCTACTTATGACCTTTCTGAGATATCCTGTATTTGTGATTCTGCTTTTTTCAACACCTCACTTATACAAGCAAAACCTAAATCTTCAGTAAGAATTTTATGTATACAATTCTTTTGCACGCATGCGTGCACACACACACACACACACACAAATACACACTTGCTCCCACTTACCTTTTCCTTTATTCTTTCAGAATTCTAATTGGACATCAAAATATACATTAATTATAAAACTCTAAAAAATTATGTTATAGCATTTCAAAGGCTCTTGAAAGAAACTATTACCAATAAAGCATTACTAAGTTTCTGTCAATATAGATTACAAAAATTCCCCAACTCCTGTTATATTTGGTTTTATTGAGCAGCATGGTACTATTGCTGTCAATACCCTTACATGGAAAACTACTGTGACAATAACTTCAAACACACACTTTTTCTCTGAGAAATATAATACTAAATTGATTGTTAACGAAGAACCACATACTGTCAATTTTAGGAAGCATAAATAGTAATTTAAATATACAAAATATATGTGATACTTTCCTTTTTTATTTATCCGTGGCAACATTTATATTCAACTAACAAATTACTTTTAAAAGATATATATGATTTTTTTTAAAAAAAAATTAAATTTCATCACCACATAAAATCGAATCCACCTTATCCTCTATCCCCTGCATTTCCTGTTTCTTCCTTGAAACAAAATAAAGAAGTGATCATCACTCTTTGGTCATGGAGTCATAATTGGTCAGAATGGGTGTGATGGTCATGTACGGATTATGACCCCAAAATTGGATAATTAATTTTAAAAAAAGCAAGAAATACTTTTTCATTAATGGGATTAAAATTTGAGAAAGATTGGCATTTAGTGTACGTAGATATGTAAACTAGTCTAGTTGAATGTTTGTTTCTTTTTCTAAAGGAAACAATCATGCACATGAAAGGTTACTGATGGCGTGGCCACAATGTCAGTGGCCTCATGTGCTCCACAGCAGTCACCCTCACCAGCATCTGACTCCTTATTCCTTCCATTGTCACAGTGAACCCTGGTCTCCTCCAATCAGATCCATGATGATGCAAGGACACATGTCCCTAAAGTCATTTGTGAAGGAAAAGTTTCCTGCTGGGATGTCCAAATATATCCTAAGAACTTTCTCTGGAGTCTAACCATTATTTTTTTATTATAAAGAATAGGATATTGAAGAGAAATTCTCATGAAAGAAAAATATTGGTGTCAATGTAATGTGGATGTCTAAATTAACATCACATTTGCATTCATTTCCTGTCAAACCTTGAGAAACTTAAAAAGCAGCAGATGCTCTTCACAAATATGATATTCAATTTTTACATTACTAGCACCAGATCCTATATTATGTGGCTGGATATGATGTGTAGCTGTAAGTTACTGTACACAAGCCAAATGTGGGCAGGAGAGAAAAAAAAAAACATTTTAAATGCAAAAATTAATAGTAAAAGGCATCAAGGGGTTACATATAAAAGAGATAACAAACCAGTTAATACCGAAATTATATCATATAGTAAACTTGATATTTCTGTATTTATATATATATATATGTATAGTGTGTATTATTTCAGGTGTCACCCATAAATTAGTAAAATATTTACAATTTAATATCTTCTGGATTCAAAATAATCCGGGATAAATAATGTGCCTTAATTGCAAAGACATATACATTTTATCTTGTATGTGCCACAAGTAAGCACAGCTTCCTGTGGCATTCCACTCCAACAGAGAAGATATGTTTCACGTGACCGAGTCGACCTCCCTCTGGGTAGTAAGTAACCAGGAGCTGCCGCCATCCTCCCCACGCTCAGATGGCAGTGTCCCAGAATACCGTTTGCTGTTTAGAATATGGTGGAGGGCTGCACTTCTTTGCACCTGTGCTCTTCTTCCAGCTGGGTAGGATAGGCATGCTATCCTGTTTGCAAAGGCCCTTTTCCGTTTTCTGTCTAGCCTTTATTTCCTTGCACAAGCAACGCTTTTTCTCAATCATCTCAAGCATTGTATGGTCTCCATGAAACCACTGCATGCAAGCCACCTAGCAGAAAAGAAAGAGTGAATGCTGAAGAAAACATGGAATGGAAGCATATTTTGCACTGTTAGTTGTCATTTAGAAAAATGTCAGCTGTTTCTACACCTCCTTTAAAAACTCTCAGAAATGAATGGAAAATACATTAATTCTTACAAAGCAAAATGTAGCCATGGAAACCATTAAAAATCTTTGTTTTGAAATTGGTAAAATCATGATATTATTTAATAATTATTCAGGCATACATATTTTACCAATATGGAAATAAAACTTTTTAAAAATGTTTATCTTTTTTAAACAATTTGCTAGATCTTTGCTTTTTACTTTCACCTTAGCTCCATTGTGTTATTGGTCCTACTAAATCTAAATTCAATTATTGGAATTATTTTTCATTGAGATTTAACATAAATGTGATATGTTGCAAAGATGTTAATGAACATTTTCATTCTTGAAATGAATTTTAAAACCTTAGAATTGTTTGTAAGTACATGGAATACAATAAATATTTTAAATATTTCTTCCTCTTGAAATGACTTTCAGTGTGCACCTTATGTTTGGAATATAAATGCTTCAATAATTCGACTGTAAAGAAGTTTTTGATACTTCAGAGAATGTTGAATTAGAATCATTGATCTCTACATGGACATAGTTTCTGATTAGTTCCAGAAACAGAAAAAGATTCATCGGGTCAATTGGGTTAGCGGGAGAAAGTTCAGAGTGAACTATGCTTTGGTATGTGCACATGTAGTACTAGACAGGTAAACACTAATCCCAGGTATGAGAGGTACAATGTGTGATAGTAACTTTCATTGGAATAGATTCTGTCCCAAGCAAAAGGCAGTGAGACTGGCCCATGAGCCCAGCTAGGATGGAGAAGCTTGAATTTAATTGTTTAAGCAAATCTACTCTATGATTTGCAGAGTAAAAGTAGTTCACTTGAAGATACTGAACTTGATGTTACAGAAAAGCAAATACCTAATACTTAATCTATATCAGATCTCATTCTAAGCACTTTGCATGGGTTATTTCATTTATTCCTCACAAGAAAGATGCTCTGAAATAAATACTATTCGGTAGCCCAAATAGTGATGATAAAATGACACTTATATTTTGGAATTCTACCCAAAGTAATAGAGCCAATGATTGGAAGTCAGGATTTGAACAAAAGAGTTCATTTCTAGCACCTGTTCCTTTAGCGACACCACTCAGCCTCTCAATGTGTACAGGTAATGGACAGGACTGGGAAGATAAATTGGTACAATGTCTTTAATGCATGAATGAGGAAGCTAAGTCTTCAAGAAGTTGCCTATCTTGCCCAAAGTCAGGCAAGGATTATTTGGTTTAAATAATACTCATAGAATTATCACCAATCCTAAACCTTTAGGGAGAGGGCAGGACCTAAAGCCAGAAAAATACAGATTCAAATCCTGGACATGCCAAATTTCCATTATTCACTCAGCTTCTGGATTCTTTAACTGAACAACGTAGTTGGCAATACCTCACTTTCAGAAGCTGGTTTGAGGTTTAAAGTGATAATGAAGTCCTTCTCACTTAAAAACAGTACAGCATTTGCCTACACTTTCTTATTCTATTACTGGCAAAAGCCTGGTAGCTTGACATGTCTGTCTGCCCTCTCTGCAAAGAACTCTATGTGGTGTTACCTCCTCCACACTTCATTGAAAGCTAGGATTTATCTATGCACCACAGTTACAAAGCTGAGTGTCAGAAGTTTAAGGAACTACATCAATGTCATAGTTATTAAGTGACACCCAGCTGTCTGACTCCAAGGTTGATATTCTTTCTAGTACAGCATCTCCATCTCTTGAAAATTATTTAAAAAATTATAATAGTTATTATGGTCTATATTGCCATTTCCAGGTGGCATAATGCAAATGTATTTATAGCTTTATTGTGAATAAAAGTGCTGATCTGACTCAAGGAACCAAAAGATGATATTCTTAAATAAATATGTTAAAATGTGCCTAACTTGATACAAAGTGTCTTAGAAGGATGGGCCATGTATATGCCTTTTAATGTTCTCTGGTACCTAGCTTAAGACCTTGGCCATGGACATTCATATTTACATAAAATGATAGGTGTTTGTTGAGTTAATATAATGAACTGTTTTGTGTTCCAACAGGAGATTGACAAAGCAGCTCAAAGATTATTTGAAAGACCTGTGATGTTTTCTAATATCATGACCCATGGAATAAAAATACAGTAACTCTCTTTAGGTGGAAATATAAGAAAAATTTATTGAATGACTATAAACTGTCATAATGGAATGTATAACAAAGAATTCCCAAAGGCAAGACCTTAATCTCATCCATTTTAGAAGTTCAACATGCAAAACAAAGTTCTAACCCCTCATAAAATTATTAATTGGAAAAAATCTACCATCATTGAACAATTTTTTTGCCTATCAAAAAAATTCTCCCAATAATCTTATTCTTAATAAAGTCTTGTGTTTGCACATTTCAACATAATTGGAAAATCTCCAAATTTCTTTAAGGCAAATATTCCTTACAGCATCCCCCCCCATTTGTATTTTATTTATTTTTTCACACAAACATTACATTATGTATTACTTAATTTTCTTTAATATTTTGTGATGTGAGTTAGGATGGGTGACTACAAACTAATATGAAAACTGTACACAGGGGAGGGTAAATACACACTGGGAAATTATTATAAGACAATTCTTCAATTATGAACACATATCTCCTAGATGAGAGTTTTATATTAGTGTAATTCAGCAGAGATAATATTCTTAAATAAGTTTATGAAAATAAAATCTAGTGAAGTTCCCTGCCAAGGAGGCAAAACCAAAATCTCCACCAGCTGCATGATCTACACAACACTTTCATTCTAAAGAGTAGAGTACAGAAAAGGGGAGAGGAGTAGCCCTATAGTGGGAAACCCTGGTCTTGTGGCTGACACGCTTCGCCTTCCAGAAGTTCACATGCTGCAATTCTCACTTCTGTGGTGATGGTACTAAGAGCTGAGACCTTCTGAAGTCCCAAGGAAGCTCTTTTCTACCTTCCGTGTTTGAGTACAACAAGTTAAAGCCTGCATCCTGCCAGAGGGCCCTCAAATACAGCCATGGTAGCACTCTGATTTTGAACTTCTCAGAACTGTGATTAATAACTTTCATTGCTTATAAACTACCCAGTTTGTAGCATTTTGTTACAGTAGCCAGACAGGTAAAGCAATTGTTCACTATCAACAGATGAACAATGATAAGTCATATTGATATTATGTATGTTTGTTATAATGATAGTCCTTTACTTTTCCTATCTTTCCCCCCACCAACCCCTAACTACACTCTAATTAATAGAAAAAGTACTAGAAAAACTCAAAATAGGGGACATTCTACAAAAATGCCAGACCAATACAGCTTAATGCTGTCAAAGTCATCCAAAGAAGTAAAGTCTGAGAAACTATCAAAACCTAGGGGTTATGAAGAGAAAACTCATGACTAAAAGCAATATATCTGCTGTTCTAGAAGGGACTGAGGAACAGTAAAAACTACATTAGATAAAAACTAGGGAAATTAGAGTGATGTGTACTGTACCTGATTCTAATGTTTGAATATTGATTCATTAGTTACAACAGAATGAACCATAGAAAGGTAAGGCCTTAGCCACAGGGAAAACAGAGAGCATGGATCATAATGGAATTTTTAGCACTCTTTGTAGCTTTTCCATAAATTAAAAATTTAAAATATATACATTTAAAAAAATAAAGTGAAAAGACTATATTCTCTCAAAATATTCATTTTAATAGTGTCTTTTATTTTTTAAACAGAAGCAAACTGTATAAGGGGGAAAGTTAAAAAACTTGATTGAGATCCTGCTAGTTGGGTTACATTGAAAAGCCATATATATATAGTATAAGACTATGGAATGTAGTTCATATGGATATAATATGTGTATTTGTGTATACTTCACATGCACATTTTGTATATATATATATATAGAGAGAGACTGTACATCATGTATACATATGTTATGCATATTCGTACATATATCACACTTTATACATGGTTGGGGGGCAGTGAACTAAAGCCATATGAAGTGGGAATATTTCATATACTGTAGCAATCTCATGGGTGCTCCTGAAATACTGGTGTGAATGAGGAGGAGTCTTTAGTTCATGACAATAATTACTTCATCTAAGAATGAAAATTAAGGGCTACCTGAGATCAAGAATATATTTTCTTCAAAAAAATGAATAGCAATGCAATACAATAAGAAATCTCTACTATATATGGAAAATACTCAATTTTCCAAAATATCTAAATCATAGACAGCAAAATATTACTCTAAAATAAGCACTAAGAGAACTTCAACATTAAAAATGACATGAGCACAAAACTGAATATGCATATCTCAAATTATTATTTTTTTGTGCCTTCCTTAGTATTTGAAAAATAATGATTTATCAAAGACATAGGAGACTAAATTCAATGTTAAGCAGTTACCTATTGACTTTGGAATTAAGTTCAGAGATAAGTGTTGAAACTGTGAATATTTCTCCAAAATAGATTAAATAATCTATACTCATTTCCAGATGATCTGGGCAGGGGATGATCTATCAATCCCACACTGGGCTGTGTGTGTCAACTTCTTCCTCCTGGTTGCCCACTTCATAAGAAATGATCATCTCCAGCACTGGAAGTAAAAGCTGTTCCCAGGACAAAAACCAAGTTAGAGCTACCTGAAATCTCTACCTTTTCTCTTCACTGCACAAAAATTGTCTCCAGAAGACCAGGCATGGCACTGGTGAAGCAATGAGGCAGTGGAGAAGTGTGTGAGCGGCCCAAAGCGACCTCGGGAATCTCGGGAGGAGTGAGAAGCTTGCACCTGTGCCCTCCCTGACCAAGGAGTCAGGAGGCCAGCCAGGGATACTATTGCTCTCATTAAGAATGTTCTTCCTCTTCCCTTTAGTGGACAAACAGGTTGAATCTTCACTAATATAACATACAGAAAAATAAACAAGTAAGTCCC